TATATATATGAATTTCCTTTTTCTTCCCTTCTTCTTCTTCTTATCTGTGTGGCTGGTTAGGCTTCGCAAGCGAATATACGTATACGTCAGTTGGTGTCTTCTTTATGGCTGCTTAGCCTTCTATAAAGAATTTGCCTACGATAGTTGGTTTATGAATTTCCGTCCATAAAGTCTACTTTCCCTCTTCCTTTTTGTGAGATAAAAAAAAAATCGCGTTATCACACTGTAGCAGTTCCTGATTGGCGTATTTCATCTTTGCCATGGATTCGCTGATTGGTTGATACTTATTACAGTATCATAGTCAAAACAATTATCTTCATGTGTATTTTACGAATTGAAAGAAAAATAAATAATTTATAATTATTTCCAATTTTACTGCTTGAATTCATAAATAAAACCAAAACATTTCCTGGAAGCTATATACTAATGTATCGCTTTTATTGTTAAATATCTAATGAAAAATGTTTTTAGTTGAGATAATACAATGTAAAAAAGACTTTAGTATACTATAGATATAGATTATAGATATAGAATTCTCAGTGGTTTCATCCAATAGCATGACCGCTCAATGAGCAGCTGTTCGTGATTGGTGTATACTTCTACAATTTAAAAGATAAACCAATCATGAATAACCGTTCACTGAGCACCCAGTGATCGGTCGTGCTATTGGATGCCTGGATGTACTCAATGGTTTTCCCGCCAAATGATCTACGAATCGTTGATGAGCGCGCTTTTTAATCTCGTAAAAATCTGCCCCGTCTTTTATGCACATATATAATAAATTTATTCTCGAAAGGAATAAAAGAGAGAATCAAGGTAAATGATGCACACGATAGTGTAAAGTACAACACACATTTTTTTCAGACATTTCACTCTTTATTTTTCTCTTGACTATAATAACTTGAACTCTTTATACACACTCTCATAGCCTAAGTACGTGTAAATATAATAACAGAAACTATAACATATCGCGTAAAACTTATTTTTAAAACCCTATGTTTACAGACCTCGCTCTCTCTACTCTAATTCAATGGAATGATTGCAGATATTTATATCTCACACTTGCAATTCTCCGTTGACATCAGAACTTCAAGAATAATGATAATTTTTGTAGGTCTTATCACGTATATCTTTTCACTAAATTATGAAGAGTGCATGCTTTTTCACACAATGCATAACAAAGCGACGTCTTGCACACACACAAATTTATAAATTATTTTATAATGGTAAGTTTTTATGTTGAAAATTAATTGATCAAAAATGTACTGTCTTCCTCACAATGGATGGTGTTATTATATTAGCATTCGAATTACAATGAGATATGCTGCTTTGTTGTGTGATATAAATTCATTTACCAAAATGTAGATTAATTTGATATATTTTTTTTTCAAGACTTGGTGTTTAATTCACACATGTTTGTAAAGAACATATGTCTATCTTGGTCAATTTTCATTATTAAAAACAAGTCTAATTTCATTTTAAAAAAAAATTACCATGATAGATTCTTGAAAAACTCTCTGTAACGCACATAAAATTATATTTAATAACTGATAAAAGAGAAATGATTTAATATATACATTTCGAATATAAATCATTATGTATATATGTATATGTATAATTGTTTAATATTGATATATAAATTTCGAAATTTATTTTAATAAAAACAAACATGTGTTTCACAAAGAAGAAATTCATTCGAGTACTATGCACACATTTATAAATAACGCAGCGCAATAAATATATAATAAACAGATACATATACATTTCGGTAAATAATAGACTACAAATAACTCATGCAATCTGTACAATATATATTAAATATTGCACATATCATCCAACAAGGAGTTGGATGACAATCCTGCATGAGCTTATACAGATTTATATTTAGTGGAAGTCAGAAATCTGATCTACTGCTGTCATCTCATTTAATTTAACTGTTCAAGAATTAAGTATTTCTTATAAAACGCGGCAAATATTCGAATGGGCAATTGATATTTCTTATTTGTTAAGATCATACAGGAATTTATTTGCTTCAAGAAAAAATGCACTCTCTATTTGATAATTATACACAAATCGAACATTTTTAATAAAATCATCATAATGCCCATTGTTATCTGGTTTTTCGTAAACGCTGGCATAAAACATTACAAGTAACTTAATATAAGTATATTATATATATATATATATATATATATATATATATATATATATATATATATATATATATATATGAGGCATTTTTTTAAATTCTTCATTTTGTCAATTTCCTTTACAATGGAATACACGGTTTATCGTATCAATATACGGATTTTCAATGTACAATATCAATATCTGTACATAGTTCAAGGAACTTTTCTTACACAATGTACACGTGATGTATAAATTCATAAAATATTTCATATACATAAATTCAATATATATATATGTGTGTGTGTGTGTGTATGTATGTGAACACGTGTGTGTGATGCATGTAACATTTTTTTTTAATTTTAGGCACATCGAGCACACAACAATGATGTATGTACACAACAAGCCTTAGTTATAAGAGCACAGTAACTTTTATATAGATCTTTCTCCGATATAATTAATAATACAAACTAAACACGGCAGCAGTTGTTATGATTTAGTTAAATCATAGCACAGCAGAGTTTGTATGGTATGTGTATATGTATATATAATATCTAAATATATACCATATTCGAGAGTGTGATTAACACTTTATAAAATATTTATTTTATTTCATTAAATCTAAGAATATTTATGGATTTGATTATCATAATGTAATAACATTAACATACATTTTATCATATTTGAATGTTTGTACTACAGAGACTTTTTTCAAAAAGTAATAATCTTTAAAACCAATAATGAAGTATATATATACATGGTCCTGTGTTTTTATCAAATAATATATACAAATTTATTTTTCTTATCTTCTCTATTCATGTACAAGATGCGTTCGAAATTGCGGTACAACAGCCGATTGTGAACCACATTTTTACACACAGCTAGTATATTAAATAATTTTTTACAATTACAACGAATAAATTGGGCAATAGACTGGTTCGCTTCTTAATTTCCGATCGTGCTACGTAACATATTTGTTAATTATCACGAATCGGTGTCTATCGGTGTCTACACCTAAATCTTTTTTCTGTATGCATTATTTTGTTTTTTCGACAATTTCATGTTTTAATGTAAAATTTCATATTTATAATATATCTAATGCGATATATATATATGTATATGTATGTATGTAACAAATGATAATAATATTCATATATTGAAATTATTAAAAACATTTCGTGTAACTGTCTCATATATTCAAAAAATTATTTTGCAACAATTCATTGTATTAAATCTTATATTTTAATAATTATTGTATTTTTTTATGAGAGCACTCTTTTATATACTTTTATTATGTGTAAGTCTGTTAGCATTTTTCAATTTATTTTATATTATTCAAAATGCATATGCACATGTATGTATGATACATTTTATAGATCATGTTAACACAATGCTTTTAGATATATGAGTCTTTGCAATTGTTATGTTCACAGACTTGCGAAAAATCAACAAACTACTGTTGCTATCAACAATTCATATTATATAATTTTCTATTGTTCTTTGCATAATTTTGTTATATCATTATATTGCTGTATATTAAATGTACAATGTCATCATTACACATTTAGTGTGATGCAATAAAATAAACAATGTGACATCAAATTATCATATCGATTATATCTGAAATATTAACTTTTATATTATGAGGCAGCATGATTATTCTAAAGATTTCAACATGCGTTTATGTAGCGGTAATAAATATTTTGTTTCAATGGCAACAGTAAACTTTAGCACATTTTGTTCTCTGTAAAAATTTCTGATTTCTCAATCAGATTGGCGACTCGTAAAATATTTTCCATTTCTTATATATATGTATATATAAGATATATTATTTATATATTAAATATATATCTTTAAAAATAATTATATAATTTATTATGTGTGCTCCGATAACTAAGGCATAATTATGTACACATATATAAACATGCTCAAGTGTATAAATATATAGATTCATTTGTTATATGTATATATGTATAGATATATATGTAAATCTTTTATATTTTTTTATATAATATATATGTAACACGATACAACGAATACTGTTAAGTGTATTTTAAGGCACTCGTGCAAATAAAATCTAAAACATTTGAAACGAATAAAGAAAAACAAAAATTTTTTAACTATAATAACAATTCATAAACTTACGCATCTAGATATTACATTTGGTTAAATTGGTCCAGAACTAGAATAGATTGAATGAAACTTTTACTTTCTGTTAAACTCTTTATAAGATAAATTAGGAAATAGTGTGATACGATTGTTGAATACAATCGATCAACCCTGTATTAATATAACATTTCATTATAGCCTCTTAACAAATAATATTATATATTCTATAACCCCGTCTAAAGCCAGGAACTAGTGCTTTAAGGAATTATTTCACCCTCGCCTTTATACTTTAATAAAATAATCTATAGTGTAAAGTTTTTCAACTGCATGTTTTTTTTTTTTACTATCAATCAGTATCTTCAATAACTAGATATACTTTGAATAGTTTAAATCAAGTGCAAAACACGTGTAAAGGGAGCATAAAACTGTTACTATAAAACCTATATTAACAAAGATTTTGGGGCAGACATATATATGCATAGCATCGCTATTCAGTGCTTAAACACTGTGCACATATAATACGCATATTTAGACCATATTTGACTTAAAAAAAAAAAAGAAAAAGAAAAAGAAAAAGAAAAAGAAAAATAATTATATTGTGTGAGATTGGCCTCAATTTGCTCACTTTAAATTCCTCTAATATTAATATCACGGATTTTGCTTCAATAGATCCTCTGTGTTATGGCAATATATACATTTGTCAATGCCTAGTATAACGCTAGATGCAGATTTTTTTTTACAATCTTCTCTAACGCTTGCCACAGTATTTGCATCAACTACAATATGAGCTATGGGACATTATTTATTTTGCATAACCCATGACATGATTTTAATAAATATTCAATAATATCATAATAGACATTTTAATGAAGAATATATGTATATGTGTATATATTCTCCATATTTTTCATATGATACGTAACATTACATTTAAAATAACATCAATAAAATATTACAAATAAAATAACAATGAGATAAAATATTACGCAAATAAAACTTTTGAGTAATTATACTTTTAAAGAAATAACAAAGAATGTAAAACGTTTGATTATTTCAAGTGCATTTTACAGTAACACACACACACACACACACAGTGATAATATATCGATTGTTTTATACATTTATATATAAATCGCGCAAACAGTTATATAAACTTTCTATTATGCAAGATAAATCACTTTTATGTGTGTTCCATAGCTCACAGATTTTTTGATATAATATCTTTATATGTATAATATAGGAATGTTTCATTTTTTTTCTTGTACGAGATGTCTCTATTATTAGAGATATGGTTATACCATAAAACGCAGATTTTCACATAATTTTAACCGTATACGTTTCTTAATAACATAATGTTACCAGTGTACATATCTTTTCCAAACTGGAATGACAAATATAATTATAGGTATATATCCATGTGTGTATATATACGTGTTATATATAAGTCTCTTCATAATATAAATAAAAATTCGCAGTGAGCACATTCAGCGCGTTTGAATCACTCGTAAAACTTTGTACAAATAAAAGACCGGGGTCTTCTGAACAGTGTAAATAATCGAACGTGTATTATTTTAGCTTTGCTAAAGTCTTTGGCTAAACGTCTAATTGCGAGCTAGAATTGTCTCTCGGGTAACTTTCTGTTAATGATGATCTATTCATCGACTTGACTTAGCTAAAAATCAGCAAACGTTTTAAAGCGCTCCATTTATCTAGTAGATAAAATTTCGATGCTGACGCCATTAACAGTAGCAGCTATTAATCGTGTTAACAGTCTAGCTGCGATAAAAAATATTCGTATCATCTTTTATTATCATCGCGAATAATGTTTATAGAAGATTGCACTGTAAGCCATGTTATTATGATCACAGTAATTGTAGGTATATGTATATATACATGTATGCTTAGTTCAAATAACTTACTCCTTATTATGTATCAACGTCATTCTGCTTCCTAGGACTTTGCTGTGCACAGTCGAAGCTCTTTGTGACATCCTAAAAAAAAAAAAAAAGGTCTATTACACGTAAATGTTTAAACGCGCTAATTATCTCACTGCTATGCATATAAATTCTTGTGCATTAATTAACCGATAATATAGCAAAATATATATGTAATTTAAGATTACAGGTATAAATATACAGATATATAAATATAACGCAGATAAATGTAACGTACCTGTACCGCAATTTGCAAGGGCGTTAATTCACCTACGGAGCAATCATTTCGCGCGACATTCGCCGGCAGTAGTCTAGGGCAGGGCTTACCCGTGAAGAGCATGAATAGTGCGTGAATGCTTCTACGTTGTGTCAATTCTATGTGACGATGTTGGTATCCAGCCAAGTGCCGTCGATGCCGCGATGTTGTCGGGAACCATCTCTCGCACAGGTTACAGTATCGTCTGTGCTTTATCGTTGCCTGTGGAAGAAAACGAGATAAGAATAGAGAATATTCGAGCCGATGGAAGAAAAGCAGGTATATTAAAGAGGCAAGTTTTCTTTCTTTACCTTTTCGTGATAAGCTAATTGAGTTATGAAATCTGCGACAGACATCTCGCTTTTTTTGTTAATATCCTTTGTATCATCCTTAATTTTATCGCTCGACATTATGACTTTGTCATCCATCAATTTGGACTCCGTGATATCGAGATCTTCGTTATCTTGGATTGTAATGACTGGAGGTGATCGGGAACTGTCTCTGTCGGAACTCGCGTCGAAATTCACGGTGATTTCGGGTTCCAATATTGGCATATTATCTTCCTTGATATTAATTTCTTTCGTGTTACTATTCATGTCACTCTTCTGATCCATAGATTTCGATATTTTGGGAATCTTGTAAGACGCAAGCTTATTCTCCTCTCTACGTTGTGGATCTTGCAACTGAACACTGTCACTTCGTTCCATTAGATTCTTTTTTCTTTCCTCATTCAAGTATATAGTACGAATTAGGCTCTCGTTCGACGTGGCTTCGCTGAATCGTTTGAACGCTTTTAAGGATATCGTAGTGCACTCATGTGTATCCTCCATCGTCTCTTTGGTATCTGCCTTATCGTTATCCTTGGGTGATTTCATCTTTCTCTTCACAAAGGAATTTTTACCTTGTTTGGAATGTTTCTTGTCAGACTTCTCGGCATTAGGTATATTCTCAGTCTTGTTAGATCTATTGGGTGCGGGTATAGAGCCCTTCTGAGACGTAATATCGTTACACCCTTGAGAAGAAGCGTCACTCGAATACGTCTCCGAGAGGCTATTGAGATCAAAACTAGAACCCTGTTTCTTCTCCGCGGCTGTCTTCGGCCTCGCGTTGTTCTGGCTTTCACATCTGGATTTCGAAAGGCACTTCTTCAAGGTCTCCTTAGCCGCCAAAACTTCTTTTATCAAGGAATCGTTGCAGCAGAAGTTGTCTCTTGTCACGGTAGAAGCTATTGCCTTGCTGCATAAAGATCTCGAAGAGATCTCCTTGATAGAGCCAACCGAGTTGTTTTCCAACACAGATCTATCATCACTACTAATGTCAATTTCCATAACGTGTTTATTTTTCTCAAGCAAACTTTTGTTGCGAGACGAAGTTTCTAAATTATTGCAACGCGTTATTTTCAACGTCTGATCGCCACAAGATTCTTCGATAGATACACGACGTGAACTGTAACCAGTGATAGGATCTAGTCTCGGCATGAGTACATCCAGCAAATCCGGGTTACTGTTATCTGTAATCTCCAATTCCAACTCGAATTGAGTTGGAATTGCGTCCGCTGAATACAATTGCTCGCTGTCGCCGTCCTCAATCATGTGACTCTCCAGCTCGCTAGTACCATTCGGCGAAGCCGGCAGGATTTCTATCGTAGATTGACTCTCGTCCGAAGATTCGATTTTAATGACGGAGTTATTATCCATCTCAAAATTATCCAACATATTTGCGGGATCGTCCTTAAGCGAACCGACATCATCCTGCAAAGTGCAGTTATTGTCCACGTCATCGGAGTTACTCAGTCGTTCCTTCTTTATCACGATTTTATTATCATCCTTATCCAAGAAAACATCATCATCTTGTTCCTTCTGTTCTTTGTCAGTTCGTAAATTGACTTTCTCGGAAAATGATTCGTTCAGATCGGGCATTTTTACGAAACAAGTTTCCATTTTAGACGTTGTTTTCAGTTCCTTTAACGCAAGCTTGAAGTCTGTAGAGTCGTTTAAATGCTTGATGGAAATACTCTTCTTTTCAAGTTTACTTGAAAACATCGTATCTTCGTCTGCTTTTTTCACTTGCTCGCGATTAAAGACAAAACTATCAGATTTGTGTTCGTGGCATTGCAAAGTAATCTCCGAGCTGGATCTTTCGAACGTTTGATTGATTTCTTTATCGGACAAAGTAACGTCTATCTCCACTCGTGGTTTATTATCGCGAGATCTCGATCTACGTTTATTATCCTTTTGGAATTCGGTTGATTTACTACCTCGATTTTTCTTCGGCGTACTATATGCCTTAGCATCCCTAGAATTTCGCGATGGTGAGAAGCTCAACGTATCATTGGTTTTTCTGCAATCGTAATCCGACATTCTTCTTTGCTTACACTTGACCGGAAGCAAGTCGGATGTCGAATTCGACCTGGATAATTTATAATCACTTTCCTTCTCCCGACAATGGCCGCCGTCCTTGCGATTCGAAAATATTTCATCTATAGTTCGCAGTGATATAGAGGACAGAGTTAATTTTAAATCCTTCACCATGCTATCCAGGATTCGATATCTCTCCAGCTTGACTTCCGGTTGCCATTTTGCGCTCTTCGCGATAACATTCTTACAACTCTTGCTCAATTCGCATTTAAATTCTGCACTGGCGGATGTTCTCTTAATGATAACTTTGGGAATTTTTTCGGAGATGCGTACCGAAGGATTCTTCCTCGTTTCGCAATCCGGCGCGACCGTTCGCATCGAATCGGATGAATTACTACGTCTCGTAGAGTGTCCTATCTCGTCACGTCCCGATTTCTTATATTTCTTTAACGGTACTTCCGGATGACATGAACTCTGTCTCTTCCGCGTCACTTCTGGAGACGGCGATTTGTTTCTCTCCTGCTTCCTTAATTTTAATACAGGTATCTTTTCCTCGTACCTTTCTGTATCTTTCGATTCTTGAGAAATTATATTACTGCAGACTGAGTTATCCGACAGATCATTTCTCGAAGAACTCTTTATCTTTACCTTTGGTACAGTTTTCTTTATGCTTTTACGTTTAATGCAAACCTCCGTATCCTCGGTTCTCACTATCTTATTAGAATGCTTTTCGTCCAGTTTGATCTTCATTTTGGGAATCTTGTTTCTATAATTATTTGAATCTTGCAAAGAATCCTCGGAATCATTCGCGTACAGTTCTTCGTTTGTAAGTAGAGTCCGATCCGAAATATTTACTTGAACAGGAGGAACTTCTTCGTGAACGGCCTCAATGGACGGTGTGCCCGGGCGAGATCTTGCGTTTCTGATGATCATCTTGGGTATCTTCGGTTGACAGCCCGGCTTGAAGATCGATTTATTAATTGTACTATCCAACTGCGTAACGGAAGAGGAACTCATTTTTGTAACAAACTTTGAGCTGACCTCGCTCTTCTTGATGACGAGTTTGGGGACTATCTTTGTGTTAGCGTTGCAATCTGTCGTACGCAAGTATGCCATTTTCTCGTAACTACTGGAAGAAACTTGATCCTGCTCCTTGTTCTCCTCGTTGCTCGTCGATGTCGCTTTGATCTCCTCAATCATCGGCGCCGACTCGACCGCTGATACTTCGGACTCGTCATTCTGTTTGCTGGCAATCTCGGCGATCGTTTCCGAAACTCGAGACTCTTTGGTGATCGATGTTCTCGAGAGAGACAGATTGTTTAACAATGAATTAGCTTCCTGTAGCGAGCTAGCCGCGCCTGTAAAGTCGATCGATGTCTCGTCGATACTGCACAGACGATTGACAGCGTCTTCTTGAATCTGGCTCGTCTCCCATTCCATCGGCACCATACTATCTTCCTCGGTGAAATCGTGCTCGGATATTTGGGTCAAAGGACATCTGTCCTCCGCGTAAATTCCACAATCGGAGGAATCTATGCACAATAACTTGGAGTCAAGACTTATGTCGCAATCTCCGGGATTTTCTTTCGTCTCGGATTCTTGTCGCTGTTTCTCGTCGCCGTTAATTATGCTCTTGATGACAGTGAACTCAGATATATTTTGTTCGCGTTCCTCATTTGCAAATATATTTTGTTCGCGCTTCTCATTCGAGAATAAATCACATATATTTCCTTCCGCAGGTAAATCCAAAGCAATGGCTGGCGTAGATATTATCGCGGTGCTACAATGATCCACCTCGTCGTTTCCCTGATCCTTCGACGAGACTTCAGCTTCTTGTTTATCATTTTCCGGCTTTTGCTGCTCATCGCCTTTTTCGTCAAGCGGTTGCTCTATAGAAATAATGTCAGATAGATTTTGCGAGATAATTGGTTCGTTTAATTTACATACTGTAGAATTTTCTTCGTCATTTTGACTGTTTGTTTGATTAAAGTCAATTTCCGTCGAAATATTCGATCCTATTACAGGCGCAACTTTTTCGCTATCTTTGCGATCGATTAGAGCCAACGAATCTTGTTGATGTACAATTTCTTGACTTATTGCAGATTCCGAATTATCTTTCACCGAATCATTGATCTCACCCTGTTTATTTGAAGTAAGCGCAGAGTCTTTTACTGTTTCTGTACATTTTGATTCATCGAGCATATTTTTAGATTCTACGCACAATTTGAATGGACTTGCGACTTCGACACAACTTTCATTTGAAATATGTTTCGCGTTTGCATCCTCGTTGGCATTGGATTTATCTTCTTTTGGAGAAGCAGGTATACAACAAACGTGAGTAGCATCTTCCATTAAATGAGATCTTGTTAAAATTTCCTCGTCTTTAACATAATTCGTAGAACATTGATTTTTTTCAGAATCGTGAGTTTTCTCATCTGCTACTTTAGGAGGAGATTGTTCCCTTTCGATGAACAAATTATTGCATTTAATTTCATCGGATTGAAACTCCTGCTTCTTTGTATATTCATCATTTCTTTGGATATTCAATGACGTATTAAGTATGTTTGCTGATTTATTATTAACGTCTGTTGCTAATGTATCATTTTGATTATTACATTCATTTTCTTTTTTATTATGTGGGGCAATATTCAATTGTTCGCACTGTGAATCGTTGTCCCAGATTGAATCTAAATTTTCGGTATAATCGCATGTAGAACGCTGTATTATTGGTTCGTTCGCTATAGTAGAAATTGTCTTGCGATTACTGTTGTCAGAAGAGTCTTGCTCGGTCGATAGAAATGGGAAAGAATCCAACCGTTTCTGTGCGGCAAATATCTCGCCGAAATTCAATTCCTTAAGATTATCGCTGTTTCTTCTGTCGATATGGGACGAGTACGACTTGATAGACTCCATTGTCTCTTCCCAACAAGGGAGCCTTGGTGCCAGAATTAAATTCGAATCGAATACGGAGCTCTCACCGTGTTCTTTCTCGTACGCGAGATTATCCGTCAATACTTTCGTCTTACAATGTTTAACGCTGGACGCGGTTTCGTTGTCCAGATTGTATTGTTTTTCAAGAAAGCTCAAGTCCACGATATTCTTCTTGTTATTTTCCTTGCTCTCTTGTTGACTGCTCTTGCTTGTGTACAATTTGTCCGCGTCATCGTTGAAGAATTCTAGATGCGACGTATTTCGGGATGTTTTTGCACAAAGGCTGTTTTTGTGAACGGCATTCTTATTCGGTAAATGATCAATGTGTCTCGATGCAGATTTGGTGTCGGCAGGCGATATTTCTCCTTTCCTACCAGTAGTGGAAGTGACGTCACGATTTCTTTTAAATACTTTTCGCAACTTGGAACAGTTGTAATAATCGTACGATGGAGATTTTGCGAAATATGATTCGCGCGCATTATCGTAATTCTCATTCGCGCGAGCTTCCATGATTAATTCGCGATATGTGAATCGGGGATTAAGGCTGTAAGTGATCTTGCCGTCTTTGGTGGTGTATACAGGAACAGTATTTAAGTTCTCCAGTTCGTCCGCGCTAAAAAAGTTTGGATTTACATAACCGCTGGCGGTCTCGCATAGGTCAAAGTTCCCGAATCTACCGTCATCCCGCTTTGGCCTTTTCCACCTATCGATACGCTTTGCATTGGCATCTGCATTCTCGTTCGGAGCAACGTCAAAATGGTTATAATCAAAATGCACGGGATTATCGTACTTGACGTTTTCCAAACTGGGATCCACCGTGCTCGAAGAAGTCGATGGAATCGCATTTAATCTAGACGCGATATCGTCTTGGAAGCTTTTTGCATTCC